CCGTATTTGGCGCTGTAAATTCCGAATTAACAACAATCCAATGTTTCTTAGATCGATGTTATAAGCGCAAGTATACATCCGACCACATTAATGTCTATGAATTGTTAGATCAACAAGACACACGTATCTTCAAGAATGTTTTTAATAATACAATACACCCTTTAAGAGCTATAATGCCAAAAAAGAAATCAACCAAGTACAATCTGAGGAAAGAGACAAGTCACCATCCTAAAATAAACACTGATAGGTTCAAAAACACGTTTGTCAACCGCTTAATTTTTAAACATAATCTAGTCTTATAATTTTTATCTTGACTTTCTCTTTAATTTATATATATAGTTTCTTTTAATGTTGTAACATAGGATATGTGATTATTTATCTTATGCCTTAATAAAGATTAAATTCAAATTTAACGGATATATCTCACAGGATGCCATGTATACATAGCTTTTCTGTGTACCACTTGCTCTCAAAGTGCACTACGCTCTCCAAAGAAAAGAAGCTTTTCACACAGTTCACTGGTTTTAATTCCTATGTTGACTTCATGAATACACTTAAATTTCCAATGGCCAATCTTGACCGAAAAAAATTGATTTACTGGGATAGCGAAGCTGGAAAATCAAACGTTGAAGCGTAGACATTGAAAAACTGTTCGAGGCAGGTGAAACTGAAGGAGAGAATGATTGCGTTGAAAGGGAATCAACAATGACACGACCCTCTGCACACAAGCTTTCAGTGGAGGATGAGTTTCTCATGTTACTGATGAAGCTGATGACGGGACTGTCCAACATTGATTTAGCAGAGAGGTTTTGTGTATCCGAGAGTACTGTAAATAATATTAATCTTACTTGGGTTAATTTTGTGTACAATGTAATTGGCAGCCTAAAAATATGGCCACATAGAGATATAATTATAAAACATTCTCCAGAGGAATTTATCAAGAAATATCCTAAGACTATTGTGACTGTTGATGCGACTGCACTGAAAAGTCAAGTCCTTAGTTCATTTCAAAAGCACATTGAGAGCTGCAGTACTTACAAGTCCCACACAACTTTTAAGTCTGTTATACGAGTTGATCCTAATGGGGGCATTATGTTTGTTTCTCAATCATTCGAAGGTTCCATTTCTGAAAAACAAATAGTGCAGAGATCAGGGTTTCTGGAAACTGTGAAACAGAAAGTACAATGTGGTGAACTAAAAGAAGGAGATCCCGTCATGGCAGACAAAGGTTTTGACATTGGTGATGACATTGCAAAACTAAAATTCAAATTGAATATTCCCCCCTTCTTGAAGGACAAAGCGGGATTCGAAGAGAGTGATGTAATCAAGACCCAAACAATAGCACGGCATCGCATTCATGTTGAAAGAGCTATAGGTAAAGTTCGGAGATTTAGAATTTTCCACTCTGTCATTCCAGTTTCTATGTTTGGCAGTATTAATCAGACATGGAGTGTTGCCTGTTTCCTTTTTAATTTCTTAAACCCAGTACTTTCTAAAGATGAAATATCACAAAAGACATAATTATTCTTCTGCTAGTCAACAAAGACACCCTTAAATTTAACTTTGATTTCCCAACTGTGGTGTTCTACAACAGAAGACCATAGAGAGAAAATAACATGCATAAAAACAGTAAATGTATTGTGCCTTTTACAGTGAGATTTGCTCATTAATGCCACATGCCTATGATTTCTATGTTACTGTTAAGTACTTCATACATTTGCCCATACTTCATATGCAGCCAATTGGAATTCACAGAAAGTTTTTTTGACCAATAGAGTCTCTTCATCTGTATGCATCATAGAGGTATGTAAAATGTTTTTGCCAAATGTTAGGTGAGAATAGTTTTCACCATTTCAACTCTAATCATTAGCTGTTTAGGTAGTAATCGGGTAGACCGGCAGATATCATCAAATGGGATTCTGTCCACACACATTTCATTTGTATCAGAAAGAAAAAAACAAGTCACACTATTTCATTCCTGAATGGCCATTTGTCCTTGTGCTTGCTCATAATAGCCAGAAGAATGTCCTTTTTTCAGGTAAAAGCTCTCTCCTATTTTTTCCAAATAAAAAACGTAGCGTCTGCTGAGGTCTGCTACAAGGTATCTGCCCTATTTGAAAACGGACACTTAATCTCAAGAAGACCATAGCATGGGTCAGCAAGAGGGTCATAGATCTTCCCATCAGGACTTGCCCCTAGGTATGGGAGGAGTGGGCTAACACACAGGCCTGCGTCATAAACTATAAAGCTCTTTGTCACTTTTTGCATGTTACGTGCAAATATCGAGTGTGCTACTCTCTCTTTAGCTTTTCCATGAGCAATTACTCTGATCTTTGACAGGTCTTTGTTGGCAAAGAGGCTTTTTACCATAGCTTCAGATGGCCTATGAACACGTTGAAACACCTTGCCAAAGCTAGAAGCTGTAAGGCGGACCTTGTGTTGCTCCAACCGCTCCTTAAATTCTCCTTGAAGAACAGTTCTCTTTTCAAGGGCTTGGGCTTTGGCAAGGTCAAGGCTGAGATTTGATTGAAAGAAATCGAGAGAAGTGTCAAAATCCAGGGTTTTTAGTGGTCTAGGTTCGTTGGTATCAAATAGTTGGACAGCTTGGGGATTGGGAAAGAAATGAAGATCAGGAAATGACATGCAGGGAGTTGGAGTGGCCGGTAATGTTGCACTTCTAAATGTATTAAAATGAAACTTTTTGTTTGGCCTCCCAAAGTCCGGCAGCTGATAGGACAAAGGTGAACCCAAAAGGAACATTTCCAAAGACATTATTAACTTTTATTGTGGGCTCTTGGTCGCTCAACATATAGGAAAATGGCGGAGGTTTGTCCTTGATCTGCATCATTTGTACGTTCCACAACACGTGCTTCATGTCTACCTGTCGGAGATTTGGCCCTCTAGCCTCGTAAAGCTTGCATTTTACGGGGTCCCTATTCCGTTCTCCACTTCTATCTGTTGCGGCTCTGGCGCAATGTATTCCCATAACTGGCATGGGGATATAGATGTAGCTCTAGGAATGTGCCAAGACTGTGGCTGACTAGTACAAGTGGCATCACTTGGGATGTCTTTCATTCCCAAACATGAATAGTCATTCAATTGAAACAAAAGGGCAAACATGTGGTTGCAATGTCCACCGCTTCCTCCCTTGCACGAACAGTGCGCCTGAGCCACAACCGCTTGATCTCCAGTTTTCATTTTCACCACTAAGTAGTGGGGCTCTTCATTCTTGCGAAGCAATCGACAGCAGCGAGCTTTCACGAGACTTTCGCCTGCGGCACATGTCGAAGTGTAAACATCAAACACATAGCCTTCTCTGAAAAACTTATAATTCTTCTCGCCGGTATTTTCCTTTCCTTCACTCTCCAAACACTTCGAAATTGCATCAAGAGATACCTTTGGAAAATTTCTCAAAGATTTTGTGGGAAGAAACAAGAGCAACATCCATCATGATCCTTACAACAGAAGTAAGATCGCGACGCCAAAATCTAACACTTTGTGATCTAAACATCCAATTCAACCCACTTGACGTGTTAGCCGATTATGTCTCTCCTCGTCGCCAGTTTGAAGAGTATTCATAGGTCAAGTGATCACTCTCATTCCTCTGATTCAACTATATTTTATTCAATAGTCAAGATGATACATTTGCCGTACAATAATCGTAATCAGTTATTTTATGTTTACTTACTAAATAGGATGGTAGATTTACGGCATGACTGGCAGTCACTATGACTGGAAGTTACTATATGACCTGTCTGTATCGCGCCATGGTCAAAGCATTTGTTTGACTCGGCTGTTCTTGTATAATAGCTCGTACTTGTGCCTTGTGATGACTTAGAACGTAGAAAATATTTTTATATGAGGTGGCTGAGATTATTAGACAAGATGGTATAATAATGCGGCCATACCATCTATGTATTCGGTAGTCTAAAACGTGATATAAAACAGCGACGCCAAACAGAACCCAAAAGGTTCCTACCATGAAATATGTTCACTTTAGAGTTACAATTTGTCTGTATTTCAGCCCCGACAACAGAGTGAAAAGTCCGTCCACGCTTATGGCCGCCATCGTCAACAGTGACACTGAACATAATGCATAGGCTGTTAGGTAAGCTGCGTTGTATGCTAATCGACAAAGATTCCACTCTTCGCGAACCAAGGACATCCAATAAGTAGCAATGAAAGGCTGGCTAACAAGGCTAACTAACAAATCAGTTGTCGCAAAACAACGATACAAGAGTTTGGACAGCGGATGAAGGGAAGCTACTTTGTGAAGGGCAACAAGAATGATAAGGTTTCCAAAAAAAGCCGTGAGGGAGAGGAGGATGTGAACTACCGTGAAATAACTCGATTGTTGTCGGACTCCACCAGCTAATGATGGCGAACAAACCAGATCTTGAAATGTTTTTGTTTTTCCTTCAAATGCTGTTAAATTTGTAGTCGGCATCATCAGTCTCTACCTTTCTGTGGATATAACAAAGATATGTCGCCTTGACAACAACTTCACATCCACTGTGACTTAAATATCAGCTTTTAATAATGCACATCTATTCAAAAATATTAAATGTATCATTTACTCCATTTGAAATGGGCGAACGATCTCAAGTGTCTTTTGTGCCACTAAACATATTACAATTTCCCCAGAGGTTCGAGTGCGAGCCTTGCATTTATTACCATCGATCCTAAATAGGAACCAGTTGTTCAGCGACACGATCTTCTTCCACAATTTATACTGGCTTTATATCCTGAACCGTCCTCAAGATAGATCTAAGGATGGAAATATTATTCAAAAGATCATAAATAAATAAAATATTCCTCCTACGAGAGACATTTTGTATTATGACATAACCAAAGTAAAGCGCGCGCTCTGATTGGTCAATTTAGCGTACCCCATTTGCCCATGGGTGTACGCTGCTGACGTGAGCAAATGCAAACACTATTTTTCCGCGCGCGCGTGTTTTTTCTGGTCGCGTAAGATTTGTTAAATAAAAGAGAACTCTTTTGCTACAATGTATCAATGTTATGTTATAAAAGAAATGGTTAACACCACAGCGTACACTATTGAGTTGTGGATGCACTTGGGAGATTTGCTA